TTCCCCTATGGATCTCCACTGATATGAATTGTGATAGCTGAGGAAATTTCACTTGGCTAGGGAGTGCACAGTCTTTGACCTCATGGTAAAGGTCACAGATTGGTTGGTACTAAGAACAGTAATTCACATGGCCTCTGATCTTGGTAAACTAGACAGTAAACACTAGAGTGGAAGTACATGTGTCTGTCATATGACAACCCATAGATACCCTGACAGATTGCAGCAGGACTTTGGAGGGAGTGGTAACATAGGAAAATGGGTCACATACCTATGACATTCCACTGAATCAGTGAGAGTTCCTGGGAGGCTCAAAGAAATATGGATTTATGAAGATCAAGAACCATGTCCCAGATGCATGACTTCATTCTGTTCCAGTTACTACCGCAGAATGTCTGAACATCAGCTTGAAGAAGTCCTTATGGATTGTCTTACCAAGTGCCAGACCCTTTTTGCTATAATTTTGACGACCCTTCAAGATGTGACCACTGGGACAATAGAGGCAACACTATCTATGGGGGTGTCTTACAGAATCATCCACTCACAGGTATTATTGATACTGGTGGAAAGCCCTTGAGTGAGCAACCAGCTTAAAATTCCAGCATGGACAGGCAAGGGAGAAGGGATGTCCCAACACAAGTTGAAGGTGGTGGGTGGATAGATGGTGGGAACATAGAGTCACTTTTCTCTGTGAGATAAGACCTCACAGTATCCGCATGCCATAGTGCATGACCCAAAATCCATAAATATGTGGGCAGCATTATTGGACTTTTGGAGTAATTACAGTAAAAGAAGACTCGAGTAAAGAGATGAAATGTATTGGCAGGAACATAGAAATGCAGACAAAGCCTTATGGTATGTATGACGTAGTTTCTGTAAAATATCCCAAATAGACACCACCCGAGAGGGTTTTGCACCCCTATTGTGGTTATTCCACAGGAATATCTATCTGAGGATGAGGAAGGAACACAGCTGTTAACCAAATACGAGAGATATTCCTTCCTATACTCTCAAGAATAAGACTTGTCATCTACCTTGGATCTTCCGAGGCTATAGCAACTGCCATCAACCAGACTCATCGTCTGGCTGGAGACTTCAGACACAGACTTGATCAGACAATGACATCTACAACTGAGAGCCTCCAGTCACTCCAAAGACAGATGAATTGTCCTGCTGGGGTTGTGCCATCTGCCTCTTTCCCCTCTCGATCTGGTGGCCAACAGGCCCAGAGGGAGAGGACCCCCACAAATGTCATTGTCATTTACTTTGTATCTTCAATCTAGTTAGATATTTCATAATTCCTGGAATATAGACCAGGGATAATTGTTGTACAAAAAATTAGAGTGACATAGAAGTTAATTAAAGAAAAACTCATTGTATCCAACACAGTGGAATCTGGCCTGACTGGAGATTCAACATTCATATCACATGGGCCAATCACCTTGCCAGGAGATTATGCCCCAAGAGGAATGACCACCCTTAAAGATGGGCTCACCTTAAGCTGTGCTGAAGAAGAGATTTGCAAAAAAAATTTTACTTTGATGAAATATTGTACTTTTCCTTCCTGTATTCCCACACCCTAGCAAGGTTCTTACAGAACAGAGCCATGCTGCTCTGAATTACCCTTCCTTCTTTCTCTGCTCTAAGTATGATTGCCACAATGGTTTTTATTCTTTAGTATTACTTCAAGCCCCACTCCCCACCATGGGGCTGTCTGCCACTATGTGACTTTTCTCTGTTCTGGCTTATCTCAAGTTCATGGCTCTTTCCCAACACTTGTTGGTTCACAGATGGAAAAATACCAGACTCCTGATTCAATTTTGATGGTCTTCTTGAAGGACTTCATGATGGCGTGATTTTCAAAGTGTGAAACTGTGCTGTACCATATGCCCCATTGGAGATATGTTCAACAAATCCCTTGATCTACACTGGAGTGCACTCTCCATACCTGATTGAAAACTTAGATGCTCCCAAAGGAAACATGGAAAACATTTTCTAACTTCTGAGAGCTACTCCTTAGAATCCAACAAAGTCATAAGCATTATCATTAACAAGGTAAAAATTGTGATTTGCCCTGAGGACCAGTGTTTCTTTTTCCTTCATTGTAGATAGTCTCCATTCAAATACTGTCACTGACACTTCACATGACAAAGTAATGCACTCTCTGAGGGATGTTAGTCTAGTAAACAGTCCTTTTATGAGCACTGGTAATCTGTGTTCATTCAGGCACCTGCACTATGTTCCATGGAAAATATTGGAGAAGTAAGCCTTTCCTTGTACCTGTCTCAGGGATGAGAAGATCTTAAAATGGAGAATAAATAAGATCTTTGTTTCTTCAGTAAGTGTTCAGGAGCTGGCCTTCATCTCTGTGAGCATCTCTATCCTTCCTGTGGTTAGGAAGGTGGGATTCCTGCAACTGTAGATTTCTGCTGAACATTCTCTTCTCCCTACTGCAGCTCTTCTGAAGTCAACATTAATGGTTAGGATTGTTGCATTTTTCATCTCTTCTTTACCTAATGATATCAATGATTTCTTCTTCCATTTCACAGCTTAACACTTAGTTGAAAATGACATTGAACTTGACATCTATGAATGGAATGGCTGATTTTTAACTGATGAATGGAGACTGACTCTTACTCTGGAAAACAATATACGAGGTAAGCTGCAAACTAAATAAGAGCTTTCAAAGACAAAAGTTTCAAAATAATTGGTCTGTGCAAATGATTTAACTGTAATGGTGTATCACCACATCTTGATTGTGCATAAGGGAAGCTGGTCATGGCTCAGGTGCATCTTTAGATTCTGCTTCCTCATTAAAATAGGTAAGATACACAAAATTATGAATATATGAACTACTTTGGTACCTGGGGATTTTTCCATACATGTGTGTAAATTGAGTTCTCCATATATTTTGAAAATCAGCCCTCTGTGATATGTGAGATTTGCAAAGAACTTTCCCATTCTGTAGGCTGCTGTTTTGTCCTATTGACTGTGTCCTTTGCCTTAGAGAACCTTTTCAGTTTCATGAGGTTCCGTTTATTAATTGTCAGTCTTAGTACCTGCACAATTGGTGTTATATTCATGAAATGGTCCGTAGCTACAGTTTTTCTCTCTGGGTCTTGCCAAGCCCCAGCAGTCATACAGATGCTTATATTATTTAAACAGCCCAGCCATTAGCTCAGGCCTACCATTGTCTAGCTCTTACTCTTTTACTCAGCCCTTTTCTGTTCATCTATATGTTACCACGTGTTCCATGGCTTTACCTGCTGCCTTTACATGATGTTCCCTGGACAGCAGGCTGGCATCTCCTCCACTCCGCCTTCCTGATCTCTCAATTTTCCTCTCCGCTAGTCCTGTCTATACTTCCTGCCTGGCTACTGGCCAATAAGTGTTTTTTTATTTATAAGTCAATCATCCACAGCAGTGGTCTCCTGTGTCAATTGTTCAAGGCTACTCCCCACTTTCTCTTCTATCAGGTTCAGTGTAGCTGGATTTATGTTGAGGTCTTTGAACCACTTGGACTTGAGTTTTGTACATGGTGATAGATTTGGATCTATTTGCAATCTTCTACATGTGGACATCCAGTTAGATAAGCATTTGTTGAAGATACTTCCTTTTTTCCATTGTATAATTTTTGCTTCTTTGTCAAAAATCAGATGTCCTTAAGTGTGTGGAATTATGTATGGGTCTTCGATTTCATTGATCAGCCTTTCTGTTTTTTCCAATAACATATAGGTTTTATTACTATTGTTAAGTAGTACAGCTTGAAATCTGGGATGGTGATACCTCTGGAAGTTCTTTTATTGTACATGATTCTTTTAGTTATCCTGGTTTTTTGGTTTTCCATATGTGGTTGAGTATTGTTCTTTCAAGGTTTGTAAAGGACTCTGTTAGAATTTTAATGGAGACTACATTGAATCTGTATATTGCTTTTGGTTTGAGGGCCATATTTACTAAGTTAATTCTACCAATGCATGAGCATGTTAGATATTTCCATCTTCTGATATCTACTCCAATACTCTTCTTCAAACACTTGAAGTTCTTGTCATACACGTCTTTCACTTGCTTGGTTAGAGTTACACCAAGATATGTTATATTATTTGTGTCTATTTTGAAGGGTGTGGTTTTCTTGATTTCTTTCTCAACCCAATTATCATTTGTGTATAGGAGGGCTACTGATTTTTTTGAGTTAGTTTGTATCCAGTCACTTCACGTAAGGTGTTTATTTGCCAAAGGTGTTCCCTTGTAAAACTTTTGTGGTTGCTTATGTATATAAGGATATACATGTATAAATTGAGGTTCATATTTGTGATAAGAAAACTGGTTACTTTTTTGAAATATTTTGTATTCTATCACTTTGATGATCTGTATACAATTTTCTCAAAAGCTGATGGGTTCTTTTTTTGCAACTTAATTTACTTACATGGTTTTCTGAATTATAAATTTGTATTCTTGTCATTTTAAAGATGTAGTAATTTTACTTTACACATCCAGTGTTTTAACTGCCTGTATGTCTGGGACCACATTTGTGAAGTGCCATAAAAACCATTGAAAGGCATTCAATTTGGGGAACTGATGTTACAGATGGATATTAACATCCATGTGGGTGCTGGATTTGAACATGAGTCTTGTGAAGAGCCATCTCTCCAACCTCCAATTGGTATTTCTTAACACATTTTATCATTGAGGGAAGATGTTTCTTTTGAAAGATTAAAAAAAATGTGTTTCTCTGTTCACTGTTCATATGTTTATGTGCCATAATGTTTTACAATGGGTGTGATGTTGACCAAGAAAGATACAGCTGTATCACTAATACCTTTCCATCATGAGGTGAGGGAAAGTACATGAAGTACAAAATAATAGTCTGAGTTGTCTATGCAGTGTTTTCCAGGATAAGCTCCCATGCATAGATTCAGTAGTGTCTCCCTCCATAGAAGAAGTAAAAACTCAAATCATTCATTCTGCTCAGACGATTGAGAAGTGTTTTGAAGAGAGCAGTGCTCCTCCTGGTCATCACTCCATTCTGCACAAAAGTCGTCTCCATGTCCTCTCAGAGTAAAGAACTAAAAACCACCGAGGAATTGGCTCTCCAGACTCTCCTGCTTTTCCAGGTTAGTTTTGGGATTCTGGTCAACATTTTTCTGTTTTTCCACAATTTCTCTCCCATCTTTATTGGCTCTCGACTGAGGCCCACACAGGTCATTGTCACCAACTTGGCTGTGGCCAATGTGTTCATTCTCATTGTCACTGCATTTCCAAACAAGGTGATGGTTTTTGTTCCAAGGAATCCTCCAACTAACCTGAAATGCAAAATTGAGTTCTTCATTCGCCTGGTGGTTCGAAGCACAAACATGTGCACCACCTGTTTCCTAAGCATCCATCAGTTTCTCACTCTTGTTCCTGGTCATTGGGGTAGGCTGATGCCTCGAGGAAGAACCCCTAATGTCGTGAGTTATTCTTGTTACAGTTGTTGGTTGTTCAGTGTCTTAAATAATGTCTACATTCCAATGAAAGTCACTGGTCCACAGAGCACAGGCAATGACACTAACAATATAAGCAAGTGGGTCTGTACCACATCTGGATTCACTGTAGGCATGGTCATCTTGCGTTTTGCCCATGATGCCACATTCATCAGCATCATGGTCTGGACCAGTGTCTCCACGGTGCTTCTCCTCCATAGACATCACCAGCGAACACAGCACATCCTCACTGTCAATCAGAACCACAGAGGCCATGCTGAGACCAGAGCAGCCCATACCATCCTGATGCTGGTGGTCACCTTTGTAAGCCTTTATGTTCTAGACTGTATTTGCAGTTTGTTTCATGGTTCTTTTGTGGACTCTCGTCTCTGGTTGAGGTGTGTAAATGAAGTTTTCATTGCAGGCTTCCCCACTATTTCTCCCTTCCTATTGATCTTTAGGGATCCTAAGGATCCTTGTTCTGTGCTCTTCAAATGCTGAAAACCACAGTCAACATGACAAATGTAGAAGACAGCTTTACTAGCACACTCTATTAGGTAAAATTTGTTTGAAAATCTTTCCTCATGAACCAAACATGTTGACTCACTAAACTTGTCCCAGCACTGTGGAGACTGAGACAGGAGGATTGCAATGTAGTCAATGGCATATCAGGCTGTAGAGTGAGAGCCAGACCAACTTGTGATAAGGAAACCCAATCTCACAATACTGTATCTGCACCCTAAGCGAGAAAGAAAATAAGTTAATAAATGAGAGAGAGCAGAATGAAAAAGTACACCAGTCATCCTATAAATATTCACAACAGTCCTAGGATATTAATGTGTTCATATATTGTATTAGAACTCATATTGTATGCATACTGTGCATCCATATCTTCTTTCTTTTTTAAAAAAATTCTTTACTTATTATGTGCACAGTATTGCATTTGCATGTATGTCTGCTCACCAGAACAAGGCACCAGACCTCATTATAGATTATTGTGAGCCACCATGTAGTTGCTGGGAATTGAACTCAGGACCTCTGAAATTTCAGTTAGTGCTCTTAACCTCTAAACCATCTCTCCAACCCCTATATCCATATTCTTGTTCATTTTCCTTTCCCAGCCGTATGTCAAATCATATTTATATTTGCTGTTTGAAAAGTTTATAGAAATGTTATCTCATATAGATGATGCTAATAACCCATATGTATTGGCATATAATTTTTAATTGGCAGACATGAATTTTACAGTTGAAAATAGCAATGTGTGCTTGTCCTAGAGTCTAGGACTTAGACCCATATGAGGCACCCAAACAATATTAATATGCCATGCATCTTTTTTGTGTCTTTATTGCACATATGTTTATCTTAAATGCTGGCATGTTGGGTAGGAAAAATGTGCAAAGATAGACTGTTACTCACATATCCAGGTAAACAATCTTTATCTCTCACTAAAGGAAATTTTCTAGATGGACAAATATCCATAAAACCCTAGAAGCTTCATTTCTGGCATTCATCACATGAGATTTTACTTTTCATCATTGAAAATTAAAACAAAGCTCTTCATTGCTGGATAGACTCATTTGCTTTTTTTTCTCTTTATTTTGCCTGTCTCCTATGGTATACTCTCTTGCCCGATATGGGCAGAGATTATAATTTTTAATATTACAGTTTTTAGTTAATGGTGGGTATTTATTTAGGAATAAAGGGTGAACCACAAAATAATCATATCTGGTTAGAACAATTGTGAAATGCATCACAGAATATATAAGATGATACGATAAATCTATCTCCCCTCCAATATGCCACATACTGCTCTAGGATTCACTCAGTAGCAGCAACAATGAACAGACAAGGAAGAGTACATCTCCATACCAAAGTCCAAATCTGAGGGTAATATGCACTGTGGGGTGTTGATTCATTTGTTGTCTACATAGTGATTATATATAGGGGTGTGTGTGTGTGTGTGTGTGTGTGTGTGTGTGTGTGTGTGTGTGTGTGTGTGTGTAAACTTACTTTAGATGAAGCATGAGGAAATTAGATATTCTCAGGTGTGTAGGTTTTAACCTATCATTCTCAGAATGTAAATCTTCTGTCCAGAATAATACACATGTACAGCACACACAGCTGGTTCCTTATATAGTCACTGGTCATCTAGAAAGAGTCATCATTTGAAGCCTTCCACTTCATGGAGGATCTAAAGACTTTTGTGTGTGCACTGCCAGGTGCTCTGTGAGCTCACTGAGAAGCAGGCTCAGGAGATGGGGTTTGGTCTACTAAGTTGAGGCACAAACACTTGGTTTCAACAGTCCTATAACATCCCTCCCTGAGTCAGGAAAAGCTCTGACTCTGGGACAAGCACCAATGTGAACAGCAAAACAGGCCAAGAAGAATGGCATCATGCCCTTCATAACAACTGAGGGGAAAAGTATTTCAAGGAGAGGGGTCTATTGTCTGTCTCTAGATATAATAATGTCTACAAGAGAAAGGGTTAATGGGGGCTGCTCATCCACCTAAGGATAGAGGGGAACATCTATATAAAACACCTCAGCCATTGCCTCAAGATGACGTTTTTATCAGAGCTTTTCATTGTTTTTCTGTTGGATGTTGTCAACTTCAATTGGTTGATATTTTGCTTTGATCTATCTGCTATTATTCCTCAAAGGAGACCACAAGCATGCAGATGTGAGAACATTTCCTGGATTGTACAATGCAGAAAATATTGTTGAGGGACCTGTTGTATATGGTGTTTGCTTCATATCTGAACACTGTGTATACTGGAGATATTAATTTATTGCTATGATATTACACATATAGTTTGGAGCCAACTTTCCTTTTAACTTAATTCACTATTTTGCTTTTTTCATCATATGATGAAAGGAAAAAAACAAAAAGGAAACAGGACACAGGAAAAGATATTGTTGAAAAGGTGTGAAAATGAAAATATTTGTAGCAAAAAATGTGTATAAGGTTAATATGGCTGATGATTTCCCAGCATCAGGAAGACAGTGGACAAGCCTGACCAAGTTATGAATATTTGAGTAAGTTATGAATGGAAGTGAAAGGTGAGATGTTGATATGTCATCTGGGATCATATCTTTGTAAGGTCAAAGTTCAATACATTGAATTAAAATGGGATTCTCTCCAAGTATTGGTCTTTCCTTGGTAAGTCTTTCAAGTACTGCCTTAAAAGAACAAAATATTGCCGGGCGGTGGTGGCGCACGCCTTTAATCCCAGCACTCGGGAGGCAGAGCCAGGCGGATCTCTGTGAGTTCGAGGCCAGCCTGGGCTACCAAGTGAGTTCCAGGACAGGCGCAAAGCTACACAGAGAAACCCTGTCTCGAAAAACCAAAAAAAAAAAAAAAAGAACAAAATATTTGTCCATTTGGTATGTATTTGAATGGATTGGGCTTTATTAGGTTTTATTTTCCAGCTCTGTCTAAATATTACCTAGTGGTTATTAATACCAGCCTTGGAGAGATGACTGAGGGGTTAATAGTGCTTGTTCTTCTTGTAGAGGACCCAAAGTTGGTCCACAGCACCTACATGGGGCTCACAGACATCTGTGGTTCAGGTTCCAGGGGATTCAATGCCCTCTTCTGACCACTCAGAGTACGGGATGCATGTGGTACACACAAATATCTAAGTAAATATTCATACATACAAAATAAAATATAACTGCTTTCATTTGTTTCCTTTTATTGAAAATAGACTCTGTTCTCATACAATATATTCTGATGTCAGTTTCCCCTCTTTTTATTTAACCCAGTACCCCCCCTCTGGATACACTGTTTCTGTCTTTCACAAGAAAATAATGGTCTTTTTAGAGATGACAACCAATTGTGACAAAACATAATATACTAAGAGAAATCAAAACCAATCATATTGTGACTGTTTAAGGCATCCCCAAAGAGAGAAAAGATAGCCAAGATCAGGCACAGGAATCAGAGACCCACTCATTCCCATACTCAGGAGTCCCATAGAAATACTAAGCTGAAGGCAGAAATGTATGTGCAGAGGACATGGTGCAGACTCCTGCAGGCCCTGTGCTTGCTGCTTCTGTCTCTGTGAGCTCACATGCACCTTGCTCAGTTAATTCAGTGTGCCTTGTTCTCCTGGTGTCCTCTGTCCCCTCTGACTCTTACACTTTTCTGCCTCCTCTTCTGTATTGTTTCCTGAGCTCCGAGAGGAGGGTTTTGATGGGGATATCTCATGTAGAGCTCTGTGTTCCAAATGTTGTGAGCCTTGTGAATCCTCAAATCCCAATGCAGTGGCACACCCCTTCCAACGAGGCCACACCTCTTCTACCTTCTCAAAGGGTTCCACTAACTGGGGAATAAGAATTCAAACACATGAGTCTACACGGGATGATCTCATTTAAACCTCCAATATCTAAATCTAATCTTTCTGCAACATGAAAAAATCAAGCAATTCTCAGATGATGAGTCCAGCCACTGAGGTGAAAGGAAAATGATTGAGGAGGGTAATGGATGGTCTTGTGATCCCATCACAAATACAAAGGCTTTGATGAGGATGCTGAAAACCTGTGATGTTGGTTTCCCCTAGTTCCCTGCCTAGGATGTTCCACTCCAATAACTCCTGCTTTTACTTCACTCTCACATCCTCCTCCCAGGCTCCAGTCAAGGACCTTTTCCCTCCCTCTCCCTGTAACACAAATGACACTTGAGTGTCTTTCTGTGATTTATTAGACAGTTCTCTCTGAGAGGTTCCGCTTCTCTCATAACCAATGTCCCACATCAGTTATAAGGAACAATAGGAGCCTTCTCCCCAAGAACATATTGAAGTTGGGGCGCTAACTTCAGAATAGGCATGGTCTTTCACGGTTTGCCCATGACTCCTCTTTGTAGATGTCATGGTGTAGACCAGTGTCACCATAGTGCTTCTCCAGCACAGACACTGCCAGACAGTGTGGCAATTCACAACTCAAATGAGAACCAATTCATACCTATTCAGAGCAGTAAGATAAGAACAGGGGGACACATATTGACTATGCAGTTTAGACTAATGAGATGGAAAAGGAAAATAACCAGTTTCTTTCTTGGCTGAAACCAGGAGTGTCTGTGGACCTCTGAGCACCATCACCCTCTTCAGATATCAGAGATGCCAGAAATGGCTGAGATGTCTGTTTCCTCATTGATTTTGGGTTTCCCCTTCAGAGGGGAAGATATTCTAGTAACAGTGAAGTCTATTAAGAGTATACCTGGTCAAGGCTAGCAAATAGAATCTCTGGCCTAATTCAACATTAAAATTACACGGGTCCATCACCTTCCTGAGGTATTCTGACTCAAGAAGTAAGGGCCACCTTACAAAGTTGGGCTCACCTTAAGCCATACTGAAGAGAAGTTGGAAAAATTATCCCCCTGATGAAATCCTCCACTTTTCCAGATTCCCTGCCCAGCACAGGCTTTTATAAGAGCACAGCCAAGCTCTTCTGAATCACTTTTCTCCCTATCTCTGCTCTAAGCAATCTTGCCCTGAGATT